GCAATGCAACATCTCCCAGTAAAAGCTCTATGTTTCTATAGGGGATAAAGGAAAGCCATGTTTGATGACACCGGAGGGTAAAGTTAGTAAAGTAGGCCAAACATTGCTTCCACCTGACTCAACAACACCTGATACTAGAGATGCACCGATACAACTGGCCCGTGGTTTCATTGTCTCATCCTGGAAATGATGATCCCTAATGACGTTTATTTTTCTGGGGGGGTTGTACTGGTACCACAGATCAATTCTGGTGGTATATAAATCACACTATTCCATTGGTGGATTGCCGCGCCAGGTCTCTCACGCCCTGGAGCCCAGCGAAGCCGAGAAAAGAAACAGGTGCGCCACGAAAAATCGGCGCCACGATGTGGGGTCCGGCGGTGTGAAAATCGTGTAGCTCTAATTTTTTTTGGGGTCAATCTGAATATACCATTTGACCATTTGTCAATCTATGTGCGAAAATAGGGTAAACCCAATCTGAAAATGTGGTATACCTGGTATACCAGAATTTTCCCCACTAAGATGTCCAATTGGTGATATTCTCAGACACGCACAAACTGGATTTAGTGGATTCTATAAATCCCCACAAGCATTACCAATCCCCATATATATATATATACATACATACACATGTATAATTACGTATGATCAACTATATCCAATTGATCACTATATCACCAAAATCAAAATCATATTGGATTTATACACTTTGATTTGATACATGATATATGTACTAAATCCACTATATTACATTTATGTTACTATCATTAATATCCCCCATTTTTTGTTCAGGACATCCCGTGGCTCAGCCTTGCAGGCTGCGAGCCAAGGTGAGTGCGAAGGCCTGGTGAAGTTATGGGGATAGCCAGCTGGATGGTCAATGGAAAATCCTAGCTGGATGGCAAGGGGTGCCCCCATGACTTCGGGAAGCTCCACATTTTTTTGATTTTCGGAAACTTTCCATGAAACCATCCAGCTATGATCCCCAAATCAATGGAAGCGCCCTGTGAACAGTGGCTGATAAACTCTGGTGCAGTAGGGGGTTATACTCACCAATATGGTTCTCAACCAGTATACCCTCTGGTAAACTAACATAACTAAGGAAAATCACCATTCTTAATGGGAAAATCCACTATAAATGGCCATTTTCAATAGCCATGTTAGTTTACCAGAGGGTACTTGGGTGTACAGTTCAAGTGACAATTGGATGCTTAACCATACTTGCCAGGTTCACATCCCAACTCATGTGGATGTTTACCACAGTTCAGCCGTAGTTGTAGCCATCAATAACCCCTGGTTACCGGTTGAAACCACCAGTCATGGAATCAGATGGAATATTTGTATCTCGATTTTGCAAGTCAGGTAGAGAATGATAGAGAATGATAGAGATACATAGAGTTCACAATAGAAGGAGATATTTCCATCCATGTTTCAAGCTTCTCTCGTGTCAGGCAGAATATTTTCCACCACCTCAGAGTTGCTCCGGCGATAAATCACCAACTCAGTGATCCTCATTCTTGGATCCATACCATGAAGAAGATGATTTCAATCGATTTCAATCTCTGAAATTGGGACGTTGTTGTGTTCCATGCCCAAAACATGTGGAAAAGAGTGTATCTGCTGAAGAATTAATTCCCGCCTGAATCAGATCCAGCGCTGTTCCCAGGCGTCTCTGAGTGCCAAGATCAGGTAGGATCTTGCCATCGCGGGTGCCACATGGTCCAGTGCCAAAATTGTAGAACAGTAGGACGGGGGATTTCATGTTGAAATTTTTGCACATTGAATCCATTGAATCCACATTTTACGTTTGAAAGACCGGAGTTTCATCCAGTTGGATGGAATCCATGATTCCTCTGGACCTTGCGCCGGTGAGGCCAAGTTCCAACATCCAACATCTCCATATTGAAAGACGGCCCATTTTTGTACACCATGGCAGCCAATAACGTTGGTCTTTTGCTGGATTTGTGCTGCTTAGATATTGTTAAATACGTGTTTCTTTTTTGAATGGTTTTCAGTTAAGGTTAAATCACTCCCAAACCATACCAAACCTAGGTTTACTGAGGGTTGATGCTGCGAACCACCTGCTTGACTTAATTTATAGAGGGTTCCATGTGAAGCTTTGGAATATGTTTGGCTTTGGCCGCAGACATTTTGCACTTGCAAGCGTCTTCCCTGCAGAAACTTGGCGTGTAAAAAAAATACGCGCATCTAGATGCTGTCAGACCCTCTAAGAGGGGCAGGAAGCAGTGGCACCGATGACGTGAAAGATCCACTCGAATGACAGGTTTGAAATAACTACAGTAGCGCCATTGACTGCATAAGCAGAAGATTTCAAGATCCTTAATGCATTTCTTCATGAGATTGGGTTTAAGGGAAAACTTACAGGAAACAATCATATTTCAGGGAAAATCATGGTTCCTGATGTTTGCTGTAGATTTTTCCTGGGGCCGGTCTGAAATTTCTATAGATTACAAATCAAGGCCAGATATGCAGGTATTGTTGTTGCAATTTTTGAGGTTTCTCATCTCTGGCCTTTTGATCTCTCGTGAATGGTGTATAAGCGACAAGATGAAGTGGGTGCATTTTTCGTCAGTGCTTAGGAATGTGGCGGCGGATTTCAATCGGCATCCAGGAGATTCATTCAGGGTTGTTTATCAGATTAACATAGATTAACTATTTAAGATTGTTACAGTTGTTAATTGATTCAATCGGTTGACACAAAAAAATATGTTTTCTGTCAGGAACATGTATCCATTTTGATTCATCACTTGAGATGATTTCCCGCTCCGAAATTGTTGTAGCGAATCGGCCCATGTGAGGAACGGTGAAAGACATGAAATATGGGAACAGCTCAAAATAATATATTGGGATATCCCCTATGAATTGGAGGTGTTGATTCAAGTTTCAATGGGACATCGTTTTTGTGAATTTTCCATTCCCCCGTTTGATTGCCGGAGGGTACCACCCAAAAAAACCGGATTGTTAAATATTCAACATGACCGATCTTGTGTCCATTGGTGCCTACCATTTTCCTCTTTAGCCATAGATTGAATCGCAAGAACTTTGGGGGTCCCCGGTCCAAAAAATCCACAGCTCCCAAAGATGGCGATGGGTTTAGCAACAAACATAACTGCGAGCTGCCTCACCGGCCGCTTGCAATTGAAGAATGTGCATAAAGTACGTCCAGGCTTACATGGTACATCCATCTAGACATAGTTTTCCATCTTAAAAGATATAGACATAGAGATCTCCAGCCGTGGCGACATATTTTCGTCAGCAGTGGATATCCGGTGAGGCTGAACTAGGTGCTGGGCCTTGTCGACCCTGTTGGCCCAAGGCCAGCAAGGTTCGTTGCCATTGCCACAGGGTGGAACAAGTGCTGCTCGGGGCGCCGTGCTGGATGGGTTGAAATAGGGTACCCCCTGCGAAATTTGATGCGCTGGTTGGAATGACTGGAATGGGATGGGTTCCGAACATGTCTGAGTTTTTTTTCGGTTAGTAGCGCCAACGCCATGAAGGCTCAGTATGGGTTCACCAGAGAGGCCATTTTTGGATGCCAAAGTGGTTGATCCGAAGCTGCTCACGCCCAGCCACTGGAGATTGTGGACGAAACTGCAACGGCCCCTGCAGCCATCAAGGCCATCAAGGCCAGATGTTGCAGTTCTGCAGCTTTTGCGCCTCAAACTGCCAGGGTTTTCCACCGTTTCCGCGATTTCACAGCAGCGTTTCGGGGCTTGGATTGACGTGGATTGACCCAAAATGATATCCAATTTGGACAGTTGCGTTGATAAGACATACAAAATGGGGCTACATAGTTAGCGTTCAGTTGGTTTATAGCTATAATAACAATAGTGTATGATACGCAAATATATAATCATATTTAGATGGGTTTGTAAACCAACAAACATATCCGGGGGGCACCATCCTGTACCTAGTTGGGCCGCTTCAACAGTGAGAGCACCTATGGTGAACACCATATCCGATACTGATAATACTACTAGGTTTGGCTTGCCAAATTACTTGGTAATGACAAGATGTCATAACGACTTTGCTGGGTGACATGTATAGAGTGTTTTTTTTGCGGATAAGGATGGACCATGGTCCAATGGTAGGACTTGCTATAATGGTTAATGATGATTTACACCATGGTTATTTAGTTGATAGTTATGCAAACGTCAGTCTATACAACGGTTAGCCTAGTTGATGCTGGTTAGATTTATACCTTCTTTAACAACGTCAGTCTATTTAGTTGGTGGTGATTTAGTTGATGGTTAGTTGTACATACTACGATGCTGATTACTACATGTACCCAAACAGCACAGTATAATAACATTCTGATTACTGGCATATGTTTAAACATCTACAAAATCATGTATATACTGTATATACTGATTATTTTTACATACTACATCTTGAATAACATAGGTCAGTATCAGTACCTATTATTATTTATTGAATAACAGCGTGTACCTTAACATATTATCAATGTATATAGTACATTTTTTAAATACGTATCTATCATTTTTCATAACAGTGCTCCATTCATAACAGTACTACATTCTTAACATACTGTTATTCATTCATAGATAATATCGTAACAGTACTTATAGATCATGATTCTTAACATTCATAGAGAACAGTATTATATTTACCCTCTGGTAAGCTAACATAACTATGGAAAAGAACGATTTTTGATGGGTATGTTTCTATGGCCATTTTCGATAGCTACCTTAGGTTGCCAGAGGGTACTTATATCCCCCTAGTCATCACCATTTTTATAGGTGGTATTCCAACCATTCCCAGTCATGGGTGGTAAAAATGACATTGCTTTTTCCCACATTACTATGACTATCATAGTATATCATAGTCTATCATAGTATACCCATATTATCCCGAGATTCCTAATCCTATCCCAAGGTTATCCCAGTATTATACCATCATTCTACCTATATCTACCTATCATTCTTTCTCACCGTCAGTCGAGTTAGTTCTCCAAGGCCATGCCTGCGGCCATTTCCGTGCGACCTGATGGCCTTGACCCCAGGATGACCATGGTGATTTTTGCTGTTTATCATGAAAAAAGGGGGAGTTTCATGGTGATTTTGTGGTGATTTTATGGTGATTTTATGGTGATTTTATGGTGATTTTGTGGTGGTTTTATGGTGATTTTATGGTGATTTTATGGTGATTTTATGGTGGTTTTATAATGATTTTATGGTGATTTTATGGTGATTTTATGGTGATTTTATGGTGATTTCATGGTGATTTTATGGTGATTTTATAGTGATTCTATGGTGATTTCATGGTGATTTTGTGGTGGTTTTATGGTGATTTTATGGTGATTTTATGGTGATTTTATGGTGATTTTATGGTGGTTTTATGGTGATTTTATGGTGATTTTATGGTGATTTTATGGTGATTTTATGGTGATTTTATGGTGATTTTATGGTGATTTTATGGTGGTTTTATGGTGATTTGGTTTTATGGTGATTTTATGGTGATTTTGTGGTTGTTTTATGGTGATTTTATGGTGATTTTATGGTGATTTTGTGGTGGTTTTATTGTGATTTTATGGTGATTTTATTTATGGTGATTTTGTGGTGGTTTTATGGTGATTTTATGGTGATTTTATGGTGATTTTATGGTGGCTTTATGGTGATTTTATGGTGATTTTATGGTGATTTTATGGTGATTTTATAATGATTTTATGGTGATTTTATTGTGATTTTATGGTGGTTTTATAATGATTTTATGGTGATTTTATGGTGATTTTATTGGTCATATTTATTTTTCCATCTGGAGAGTTGATGTCCAGGCTGTTACATTTCCTTCCCGTAGTTGAGATTTGCCTTCAGAGTTTAGTATATTTTATGGTGATTTTATGGTGATTTTGTGGTGGTTTTATGATGATTTTATGGTGATTTTATGGTGATTTTATTGTGATTTTATGGTGGTTTTATGGATTTTATGGTGATTTTGATGGTGGTTTTATTGTTTTAATTTTACTTGGTGATTTTTGTGTTTGAGTGAATTATTCGACAGAGCTGGGGGAAAAAGAAAAAAGAAAGAGGAAAGGAAAAAAGGGGTAGATAAGCAAACTACGTGGACTCGATCAGATGTAGGCATATGGAAATCTGACTCATCTTTTGGGGTGGGATTAGTGCTCCTCACTGACTCACTGTGTGATCGGGTAATTAATCGCTCGATTGCGTCTTGGCGGGTGGGTGACGTGGATCTCTCTGGGCTGCGGGTGGGGGCATAATACTGGAATGGAATCCTTAGAGTATGGGTGTGATGTTTAGTTGTGAGGTCGGCGGGTTAGGGTGACTCTTGCTGCGCGCGGTTTGAAAGTAGAGTGGTGTGTGAATATCTTCGACGTAGTCCTGACCTGGTGTACGCCGTGTCGGTGTGTGGATAAATTTAACATAAGTTAAAGGATTAAATTATGGTGGTTTTATGGTGATTTTATGGTGATTTTATGGTGATTTTGTGGTGATTTTATGGTGATTTTATGGTGATTTTGTGGTGGTTTCATGGTGATTTTATGGTGATTTTATGGTGATTTTATGGTGATTTTATAATGATTTTATGGTGATTTTGTGGTGGTTTTATGATGATTTTATGGTGATTTTGTGGTGGTTTTATGGTGATTTTATGGTGATTTTGTGGTTGTTTTATGGTGATTTTATAATGATTTTATGGTGATTTTATGGTGATTTTGTGGTGGTTTTATGGTGATTTTATGGTGATTTTATGGTGATTTTGTGGTGGGTTTATGATGATTTTATGGTGATTTTATGGTGATTTTATTGTGATTTTATGGTGGTTTTATGGTGATTTTATGGTGATTTTGTGGTGGTTTTATGGTGATTTTATGGTGATTTTATGGTGATTTTGTGGTGGTTTTATAGTGATTTTATGGTGATTTTATGGTGATTTTGTGGTGGTTTTATGGTGATTTTATGGTGATTTTATGGTGGTTCTATGGTGATTTTATGGTGATTTTATGGTGATTTTATGGTGATTTTATGGTGATTTTGTGGTGGTTTTATGGTGATTTTATGGTGATTTTGTGGTGGTTTTATTGTGATTTTATGGTGGTTTTATGGTGATTTTATGGTGATTTTGTGGTGATTTTATGGTGATTTTATGGTGATTTTGTGGTGGTTTCAAGGTGATTTTATGGTGATTTTATGGTGATTTTATAATGATTTTATTGTGATTTTATGGTGATTTTATGGTGATTTTATGGTGAGATGTCCAGGCTGTTACATTTCGTTCCCGTAGTTGAGATTTGCCTTCAGAGTTTAGTATATTTTATGGTGATTTTATGGTGGTTTTATGGTGATTTTATGGTGATTTTATGGTGATTTTGTGGTGGTTTTATGGTGATTTTATGGTGATTTTATGGTGATTTCATGGTGATTTTTATAGTGATTTTATGGTGATTTCATGGTGATTTTGTGGTGGTTTTATGGTGATTTTATGGTGATTTTATGGTGATTTTATGGTGATTGATTTTATGGTGATTTTATGGTGATTTTATGGTGATTTTATTGGATTTTATGGTGGTTTTGTGGTGATTTCATGGTGATTTTATGGTGATTTTATGGTGATTTTATGGTGATTTTATGGTGATTTTATGGTGGTTTTATGGTGATTTTATGGTTGTTTTATGGTGATTTTATGGTGATGGTTTGTGGTGATTTTATGGTGATTTTATGGTGATTTTATGGTGATTTTATGGTGATTTTATGGTGATTTTATGGTGATTTTATGGTGATTTTATGGTGATTTTATGGTGGTTTTATAATGATTTTATGGTGATTTTATGGTGGTTTTATGGTGATTTCATGGTGATTTTATGTGATTTTATGGTGATTTTGTGGTGGTGATTTTATGGTGATTTTATGGTGATTTTATGGTGATTTTATGGTGATTTCATGGTGATTTCATGGTGATTTTATGGTGATTTTATGGTGGTTTTATGGTGATTTTATGGTGATTTTATGGTGATTTTATGGTGATTTTATGGTGATTTTATGGTGATTTTATGGTGGTTTTATGGTGGTTTTATGGTGGTTTTATGGTGGTTTTATGGTGATTTTATGGTGATTTTATTGTGATTTTATGGTTGTTTTATAGTGGTCTTATGGTGGTTTTATGGTGATTCTATGGTGGTTTTATGGTGGTTTTATGGTGGTTTTATGGTGGTTTTATGGTGGTTTTATGGTGATTTTATGGTGATTTTATGGTGGTTTTATGGTGGTTTTATGGTGATTTTATGGTGGTTTTATGGTGGTTTTATGGTGGTTTTATGGTGATTTTATGGTGATTTTATGGTGATTTTATGGTGATTTTATGGTAGTTTTATGGTGATTTTATGGTGATTTTATGGTGATTTTATGGTGATTTTATGGTGATTTTATGGTGGTTTTATGGTGATTTTATGGTGGTTTTATGGTGATTTTATGGTGATTTTATGGTGATTTTATGGTGATTTTATGGTGATTTTATGGTGGTTTTATGGTGATTTTATGGTGGTTCTATGGTGATTTTATGGTGATTTTATGGTGATTTTGTGGTGATTTTATGGTGATTTTATGGTGATTTTGTGGTGATATATATTTATTTTTCCATCTGGAGAGTTGATGTCCAGGTTGTTACATTTCCTTCCCGTAGTTGAGATTTGCCTTCAGAGTTTTAGTATATTTTATGGTGATTTTATGGTGATTTAATTGGGGGTTTAACTATGCCAAAAAAGGGGATTGAACGATAAAAAAACAAGATTGTTTCTTTTTACCATGAAAAAACCGTGGTTTGACTCTCCAAACAAGGATAGTTTAACTTTTGATCTCGAGGGATTTTCGTCTCAGACCGCAGTGGAGCAAAGCTCCCAGGAAAGCAAACATTTTCAGACAATCTCTTGGGGATTTACGAATGAAGATGGGACAATCAGGTTCGAACATGGGATTGAACATGCATGTACCCGACAAACCTTGTGAGCAGCCTGGGTAAAGGTTGGTTCACAATCAGCTGGGGCAATACCCAGTTTCTTTTTGGATGGATGGTAACCGTGCGGACGAGACTAGCCGGACTTTTTGGGGTGGTTTTGGGGTATGTGCAAATACCGAGCAAACCTTAGGTTGATGAATATCCCAATACAGCCCATGCGAGAATGCGTTTTTATCAGGTGGAAACAAACTTACCAGGCATTGCCACATGATCGGCACTAAGACTTGCCATTTATGTAATAGATGTTTTGGAGCTACTGGTATGTTACACATTCATAATTTCAAGCCAGGATGAATCGACGGCCACTTTTTTAAAGGACCTCCTTGCATCTTTTGAGGATATGATGGTGATTCTTCATGGCGACTTTGAGCGATTTAAGCATAAGAAATCAACAAACATGGTGATACCCTCTGGTAAACATACAAAAAGCTATTGAAAATGGCCATAGAAATAGTGAGTTTTCCCATTAATAGCATGGTGGATCTTTCCATCGTTATGTTAGCCCGTTTACCAGGCCGGGTATATTGATCCGACGAACCGCTGAAGGTAGATATCAAGTTGTTGTGTTGACTATAAAGCTACTAAAACTACTACGATGTATCCTGTTTGGTAAATACCAGGTTTTGGTAGTTTTAGTTGATTCAATCACACTACTCGTTTGATCTCGCGGGCTTGATTTGATCGACTGGTTCAGCTTTTCCCGACCGCGAAATCATGAGCTGTCAATTTGGAAGGAAATGCATCATTACATTACGCCTGTTTGAGATTTATCTCCTTTTCTAAATGGGTTCAAAAACGGATTTGCTATACTGTCTTGTCAACAAGCCGCAGGGTAGTAAGTGGTAGTTTTTCGCATGTATCTCTTACAGGGTTGCTCCAAGCCATAATCGATGGTAGCCACTTGGGGGGAAATATGTCATTTTACCTCTTCACCCAGGTTTCCCCCCATAGATTCTCCAATTGATGGTGACATGCCATAGAATATCTCCATGAAATGTCCATTTGATGATTAAATCATGAAAAATCTCATTATATTCGCATGAAATTCTCATGAAATCCTATTAAAGTCTCATTCAGTAGCCAATCAATTCCCATTATATTCCCATTCATCAGCATGAAATTCCCATGAAATCACTATAAATCCTCATGACATCCCCCATGAAATCCTGAACAAATCCCATGACATTTCCATGGAAATCACCAGAAAATCAGTCTCCAGGTGTGGGTGTCATCACCATGAACTCGCCTCCGGTGAATTCTCTGGGGACGGAGCTGGTGACTTCCTTCAAGCAGGACATCGGGTCTTTTTTTTTTTCGGGATTCGACATGGGATGTTTTTGTGGAAAAAAGTGATAGATTGAACTGAAAAACGTGATAGAATTCTGATATTTTGGAAAAAGTGATAGTTTTTTTCGGGATTCGACATGGGATGTTTTTGTGAACAAAAAAGTGATAGATTGAACTGAGACATGATAGAATTTATATCATTCAATATCAGTTAAATCTATCATTTTTTTTTTCCACAAAAAAAACATGTAATTAATGAATAATGAGAATCAATTGGATATTGATGATATTTCTGTTTAATGATATTTTATGTTGCGATATATGATGATATAAGATATGAATGATAATGATTGTTTATGATATTGATGACATTAATCATTTGAGATATACTGATACACTATAGAAATAAAATGATATCAGTGATGTAATGATATAATGATATATTGAGATATAATATGACATTCATGATATGATGTTTTTTTTTTTTTTTTCGCATATCACTGGGGATAGAATGATGTGAGATTAACGGGATATTTCAGGATATGCTAATGGCATATGGAATATCGGTGAATATCATCGGGTAATTTTTTGGGGATATTGGATTGATGGAACTGGGAAAATCTGACACATCCGACTGAGGGAGACCTTGAATGAGAAAAAAGGTTTTATTTTACCCTCTGGTAAATTAAGAGTTTGACCCGGAAGATAGCCATTGTTGAGTTGAAACTAGTCTTCCAAACCCTATCTGCCAGGGTCGAACTGTTGATTTACTGGAGAGTAAATCTGATCGCTTTGGGGTTGAACCTGAACCCCATTAAGCTAGCTGAGGTATTTCACATATCATTACATGTTACTATATGGAAATTTCAGGATCTTAAAATTGAGGTACTATACCATATAAAGCCATATTTTGGGAGCATAACCCCGTACATAGCCCTGAAAAATAGGTCTTCTATATGGTAGGTAGGTACATTTTAGGTACCTGAAATGGAGGAGCCCACCCCCAGTACCTGAAATGACCATTGACTATATACCTACTTATGACTTGCTGACTGGTTCTTAATAGCCTACCAAGTGGAAAGGCGTCAAGATGGGATGTTTGGCCAAGAACTCGTAGCCAAGCTAAAGGGAGCCAAGCTATGCTGCCATCATGAACCAACAAAATCCGGTATTAAATGGCAGCACATGTCTAGTATTTTTTCAACTTTTTTGTAGGGGTGCTTGACTCCGGATGGAAGCTAAATCCAGTTTTTTTTTCTGAAAAGAGCTATTGGGAGATTAATCCACAGCAAGGGGACATGATGACCAAGGTCGAGTTTGTTCAAAATCTCCAATGTTTCAAGCGCATTGAACCATTGGGGGAAGCGCAGTGACACTGCAAGCGCAGCCTGTAGCCAATAGCCATGAAAAAGCCGCGGATGTTGACTTTTGCTTCGACATGTGAACTCGACCATCCGTGTGATCACAGTTATCAGCGGTTTTTTCTAGGGGTTTATATATCCCAACTTCGGTGAAAATCCCATTAAAATAACCATCATAGAAAATTGGTTGCGACAAAAATCCCATGGAATTTCCCATGAAGACGATGGTGAACTCCCGTGTTTTTGCTGTCTTGAGGAGTTTCCGAAGCTGGTGCAGGACCCGCAGGCCTTTCGCTGCCGAACTTCGGGGGATGCGTTCGTCCCAGTTAAACGTTGAAGAAAACACCATGGATCTGACATGGAGGTTTCCAATCTTTGGGGGTACCCCAAATCATCCAGTTGTCATGGATGACCATGACTTAGTATTGAAACCGTGACTTGGGTAGCCACATTTTTTCCGGAAATCACCACATGCAAAAAAACACCACGGATTTCTGTGTCACCGTTCGAATCATTGGATATGGTTTAGATGTGAATCCCAGTTTTTGCGAGATCAAGTCTCCATATTTGGGCTGATGTTTGGGCTAATTGACTCCATGAATTTTCTTTATTGATTCACCCGTAGACCCCATTATTTTTGATGTTCCAGTCCCCATCGCTGGCGAAATCACCATCTTTTCTTGATGGCAGAAAGGAAATCTTCGTTTCAATCCTTGAGAATCCAATAAACATCCGCATTTTGCTGCCTAAATCAGCGAAATGCCCACATTTTGGCTAATAAACTCAGCTAAATCCCTCCTTTGTTTTGCTGCTTCCTTACATATTTTCCCCATGCGCATGCCTTGCGCGTTGCGAAGGTGAAGGCCATTGTCGTTACGGGTCAAGGTGCCATGTTCTGCGGCGGCGCAGAGATCACGGAGCGGCTCGGAGAAAAGCTGGAGACAGTGGAGACATATGGCTGGTTGGTGGTTTCAAACCATGGAATTTTGAATGACTTTCCAGAAACAGTTGGGAATTTCATCATCCCAACTGACGAAGTCAGATTTTTCAGAGGAATTCAAAGCAGCAAGCAGAGACATATGGGAAATGTAAAGTGGTTTAATGGTGTACTGGTGTTTAAAAAATGGTGGCTTAATGGTGAACTTGGTGTATAAGTAATACAAAACACATATGGGAAATATATATATATATAATATATATATATGGGATACGTATGGAATAACAGCAACACTATTGGAAATAATGGGATGATGGAGACGCCATAAAGTGGGAGATAGAATGGAGATAATCATGGAGAAAAAAATAGACACATGGCACGAGGAGCTACTCAGCCAGAGGAAACAATATACACATATATTACCACCTGGTTATTTAACATAGCCATGGAAAATGGCCCATAGAAATAGATGGTTTACCTATTAAAAATGGTGATTTTCCATGGCGAACTGTTAAATTAGCAGATGGTATGTTGTTTCTATAGGGCTATAATGATTGATTTAAGCATCAACAATTGGTGACGTAACCAACGATGGTTGAGAGATTTTATAATCCGACTTAATGGTGCTATAATGAGGATATCAAGGGCATATTGATGGTGATTGAACCAGGGACTATTTTAAAGCATTATATATATATCATTATATGTATCATTATATATATAGTATCCATATTCATTTTTCATCCGCCTTCATTTGATGGTGGTTTAATGGTGTTTCAAGTTTCAATGGTGTTTTAATGGTGTTCAATGATGATTTGACGATACAATGGGGATACTAGTATAAGTAATTGAATATAGATGGGAAGCATATGGGAAATATATGCGGGACGTGTCAGAGAAATATGTGAGGTAAATATAGAAAAACATGAATAATAACCAATGATATTGGATATTTATACTGAATAGAATGGGATTATGACTATTATATAAATGGTGATTGATTATTTTCAAGCAGAAAACCACTTCAACATGGTGGTTTCTGGGGAGATTCTAGTCTCGCCTATTCATGGAATATTCCATGGGATATGGAAAAACACTTGTAGTGATATTATGGGTGCTATTCTGGCACCGGGCTAGTCATGTTGTATGAGGGTTATCCCCATGACGTCGTGTACCCTGTGTACCCGGTAGGGTGATCAAACATACAAAGCACCGGGAAATCAAAAGCGGAGGCTTTAAAATGGGAAAAGTCATCTATAGATAGGCCACTTTTCCATCATTTTTTCTTGCCATGTTTGATCACCAGAGCTTTTTTTAAAGATTCACTACCATTTATGACATAACATCCATTTACCAACTCTTTTCATAAGGAAGATGAACATCCATTCTTCAGTTTGTTTATAAAAACAACATGGTAATGAACCAACAACCATAAATGACCATTAAAGATCTAACCCATGGGCCATTTTATAAGGTAACCGCCTCGCCTGTGCACGTGATTTTGGCTCGCTGGTGCACGTGATGGCCGGACTCGCCTGTGCACGTGATGCACCTTCATTCATGATATTCATCATCTTCAGCATCATCAGCATCATCATCATCATCATCATCATCACCATCACCATCATCACCATCATCATTCTCATCAACGCTGTCATGGTCGACGTGATCATCAGCATCTTCTTCTTCTTCTTCATCATCACCATCATCATGCTCATCAACACCGTCATAGTCGACATGATCATCCGCATCTTCTTCATCATCATCATCATCATCACCATGATCATGCTCATCAACACCGTCATGGTCGACGTGGTCGTCAGCATCATCACCATGATCATCATCATCATGATAATTATGATTAATTATGTAATCATAATCATCTTCGTCATCAGCATCATCATGCACACTGGTGGTAAGTAACTGGCATTGCTGGTCCGGAATTGACCTTATTCATTGTTCGGCATTCACAGTCACTCCTTGCTTTCTCTACTAGTATTCCCACGCGTCCTCTGCGCTACGCGATGTTGTCCTCTCTCGGGTCCGCTTGCTCTCGATAGACACTCGGAAGTATTGATGAAACAGTTTCCAGAAATAAAAACACATTGCAACTCATGTTTTTTTCCATGTGTGCCGGTTGTAACCTTGGTTTGCTGGAATGCTTTTTGGCTCTCTGAACCTCAATGTTGACATGCATAAGGATTATGTCAACGCCTTTCTTCTGTACAGGTTTTCGAATTTCATAGTGATGTTTTGTTCCGGAACTGAATACCATATCCGCATATATTTCAATGGATCAAACTAATAGGGACATGTTGAATGATATGTTCGTGTCAGACAGAGCTTGTTTGGTTGTTGTGGATTTTTACGCTTCATGGCGAAGCGCTCTTTGCGCCGACCTGCTGCAGCGGCTGCGGAAGTGCTTTGTGCAAGCTTTGTAGTACATGGTAGTGCTGGGAAGTGCTTTGTGCAAGCAAGCGTTGTAGCACAAAGTCGTACTGGGTGGTGCTTTGTGCAAGTTTTGTAGTACAAAGTAGTACTGGAACGTGCTTTGTGCAAGCTTTGTAGTACAAAGTCGTACTCGGAAGTGCTTTGTGCGAGCTTTGCAGTTCAAAGTAGTACTGGAACATGCTTTGTGCAAGCTTTGTAGCACAAAGTAGTACTGGGAAGGACTTTGTGCAAGTTTTGTAGTACACAGTAGTACTGGGAAGTAGTTTGTGCAAGCTTTGTAGTAGAAAGTAGTACTGGGAACGACTTTCTGCAAATTTTGTAGTGCATAGTACTGGGAACGACTTTCTGCAAGCTTTGTAGTACATAGTACTGGGAACGACTTCCTGCAAGCTTTGTAGTACAAAGTAGTATTGGAACGTGTTTTGTAAGTTTTGTAGTACAAAGTAGTACTGGGTTTGTAGTACACGGTAGTACTGGGAAGTGCTTTGTGCAAGCTTTGTAGTACACGGTAGTACTGGGAAGTGCTTTGGGCAAGCTTTGTAGTAAAAAGTACCGGCAGGGAAGTGCTTTGTGCAAGCTTTGTAGTACACGGTCGTACTGGAAAGTGCTTCGTGCAAGCTTTGTAGTACAAAGTAGTACTGGAACGTGTTTTGTGCCAGCGTTGCAGTACAAAGTACTTCTGGGAAGTAGTTTGTGCAAGTACTTCTAGGAAGTAGTTAGTACCGCTTGACACTGCACACTCCTTATTTTACAGTCTGCAGTCCACACTCTACACTTTCCACGCCATACTCCACACTCTACACTTTCCACTCCACACTGAGACTGGTAACACGGGAAATATGTATTGTCTCCAAGCGATGTTTTCCATGCGTGTCTTTGTGCGTTACTTGTCTCTTTGTGAATTGTTGATCAGGTGAATTGCTGAGACGATACGCGCGCACTATGCATGAAAAGAAAGGTTCGTTGTCCTATTGCAGAGTCACTCGTACACTAAGATCGTGAATGCAGTCGGGTTTGTGGCTTCTATCTTGTTTTTAAGCAAGGGGTACCCTTTTGCGAGGACGGGGATAGACCATGTCACTTGACCAGTATGCACTTGACTAGTATGCGTGTGGCTTAGTTTTTATTTACCTCTTTTTGCGGGGACTTTGCCGGCGGTGTTTCTTTGGTATTTCAGTTTGAAATCCATGCTGAGTCATCGCGCGTTCAGCGAGGGTTTCTTGAATCGATATCTTGTTTTGGACTTCCTTGTTTTCATTCAGAAAACCTAAATGATCAGAGAGTCAGAGAATCAATGGAATGTTTGGCTGAGCGGATGGTTTTCCAAATATTCTGAGCAACTGCGGAAACCACCAAGATACCGTCAGAAGTGACTGATGGTGAGCAAGGACGGAAACCATCAGGATCCCGTAAGAACTGACTAATAGTGAGCAAGGATCGAAACCATTAGGACATCATCAGATCTGACTTATCGTGAGCAAGGACGAAAACCATCAGGACACCATCAGATCTGATTTTTATAGTGGGCAAGGACGGAAAACATCAGGACACCATCAGAACTGACTTATAGTGAGCAAGGTTGGTTTCTCCCTTGCAACCCCTGTTCCCCTGTTCCCCTGTTCCCCTGTTCCCCCCCTGTTCCCCTAATTTATAAACCTAAAGGTTGGTTTCTCCCTTGCTACCCCTGTTCCCCTAATTTATAAACCTAAAGGTTGGTTTCTCCCTTGCTACCCCTGTTCCCCTGTTCCCCTGTTCCCCTGGTTGGTTTCTCCCTTGCTACCCCTGTTCCCCTAATTTATAAACCTAAAGGTTGGTTTCTCCCTTTCTAAGTGTGTTGTGCGCAGGTGAGTCTGGATCTTGTGCGGGTGAGTCTGGATCCTGTGCGCAGGTGAGTCTGTGATCAAGTGCGCAGGTGAGTCACTTTCAAGTGCGCCGGTGAGTCCTCTACCATTTTATAAATGTTTATGATTCTTCCTGACCATTTAACCAACCATGGGCCATGGATGTTTCCCCTCTGGCCTGAGGTTTGCCGTGATGGTTGCGATGGGTCCAGAGAAGATGAAGGACCATGACCTATGGCTATGGATCAATACCTATAAATAGGAATATTTAGGAAGATCCATTTAGGACTACATGTTTTTTTTGGATGTTCCATATTTTGGACCTGTGGTAAATGGTTCATGACATTTTAGGAAGATGAACATCTATTTGCCAACGATTTTTAGATGTTTTACGGACTTGGAAATGACGATTTTGGGGTCGCAGTTTCATGGAATGATGTGCAGATTCAAGAAACTGTATCAAATAGACCTGTGCGGACATCGTTGCTCTTTTTTGTGTGTGATGCTGAAAAACGATACGGTGGAAGTGAGGGATTGGCTATGGCTCACTTTCTTCCATTTGTTCAGAAACTTAACGGATACTTTTTCTGTTTTGGAACTATCCCAACTGTTGCTTGGTCCAGAAGTATTGTTCCCATCATCAAAATGGGTGGCTTTCCACATCCCGACTCAGACTATTCTGTTCGGTGAAATGATCCGCAACCACATCCCCTGACCTGTCGTTTTGCCTCGAATAACCCTCTGGTAAACTAACATAGCTATGAAAAATCACCATTTTCCAGAGGGTAAATCCACATTTTCAATAGCAAACTGTAACAAATTTCCAGAGGGTATGTCCATATGTTCCATATATATTCCATATATACCCATGCATTGAGTTTGGCAGGCTTGGGTGTGCATGTATCATCTTCAAGTGTTTCAATGAATGCTATCATTTTGGCTCAAGTAAACTTGAACCAAAATAGCATTCATTGCTGTTTTCTTTCTTGGTCTTGGTAAGGGGTGACCTTTCCAGACCTTGATTGGGTGGTTCAAACTATACACAAGGGGCGACCTTGTATGCAGCGCAAACTCCCAGGAATCGATATCCCGGCAGCCACTGAGGCGAAGATCCTTCATGCTGCTGCTTTCCTGGAGTTCAAGAGCCACGTGGAAAGGCTGGCGCGGGAGGGCTCTGATGCTGCAGCATACACATGCTGGATGCATGGTATTGAAGTGTTGCATTCCCCCTACGTCATCACGACTGGGACAGATTCAGAGCTTTTCCCCCCCCTGCCGAAGCTACCCTGTTGCCTTGATGACTGCCAGCGTTGCGCAGCTCATGTGGGGGGGTTCAAGTTCCCGTGGCTCGGCTTGTGGAACAGCCGTGGCGTTGTGCTGCCCGATGATGTGGCGCCTGCGGATGCTTGGGCGTACTACTACCAGCACCAGGACCCCATGGACCTGCTGCTGGTCGCTGCCTACAGGAAGCTCAAAGTGGCCGCTGACATCGTGCCCCAGGATCTCTACGGGTTGCAGCTCAGGTGCTCAGCGGGCGACGCTGGGCAACTGGGCTTGGGGGAGCTGTTCGATCAATGGAGGAGCTGGCTCAGATGCACAGGCCCTCACGAGCTCCTACCGGTCTTCCTCGAACCGCGGCATTTCCCCAGAGCACCTAGGGGGCGACCCTGGGTGGCCTGGGGGAGAGAAGGCGCCAGGGCACATCGAGCGCTATGTGGATGGCTGGAATGCAGGAGGCAGGCATGCTTCAGCTGGGCACAGCCTGCACAGAGTGCGGAGACCCCACAAGGCGCGTGTGCTGGGCATGCTGCGTCGGGATGTGTAGTGACTGCTTCACCTGGCGTGAGCCATGCAGCACTTGTGGAGGACGTAAGAAGATGTTTGCTGCAGGTTGATTTTATGACAGAGGAGGCACCTCTGAAGTCACCGCAGCATCTTTTTGCTCTCCGCACCTTAGCAATCTTGTTAGGGTGCAGCGCCATGGCATCAGGCGGCAAAGGCTACTATGCAGCTCAAGCGGCAGCTTCGTCCTCGTCAGGGGGTGACCCTGAACCGGGATGGAGAGCAGCCGACTCCTTGATGATGATAGCTGCACAGCGTGCGCGTCAATGGAGGGAGAACGAAGGCCTCCTGGACGACAACGACTTCGCCTATGCCTACACCGACTACGATCAAGTCGTTGGACTAGCTGGCCATCCCCTGAGTCTCCGAAACTAGTAAATTTACTTTTTGCCTAAATTTAATGTAAATGAACAATTTACTTGGAACCAAGTAATTTTTTGAGAAAGTAAATTTTTAAGTAATTTTTTGGCCAACACAGAAACAGCATAGAAACCGCATAGAAACAACATACAAACTGCATGTGGTGATTTTTTGTTGAAGAAATTTATGGAAAAAAACATCACACTTCACTACAAAGAAACATTTTTTATGGTAGAGTTCATTTCTGTTGTTGAAAGCTGGTGTTAGGAATAAGGTAAAATATGAAAAAATGAAAGTTTTGTGTTGCAGAAGCTGTTTTTCCAACACATGGAATTGTTTTTAACCTGATCTCATGCAAATGTCAATTGTGGGATTGCAATGTTTCTTGTAACCTGCAAAGCTTCAACTTCTCAAGTAAATGATGATATAAAGATCATGAAAGTTAAAAGTAGGTTACTTTCTTTGTTTCTCACAAGTAATGAACCCAACTTGGAAAGCCGTGATTTCTGCTTTGCCTTTGGTGAAACTATTCAAGTTTATCCTTTAGATCTTGCACTGCATCCACATTAAATGGCGCTCCTTCCAAGCAGCTTTCTTTGAAGCCTGCCAGTGTTTGCTGCCATGCAAGCAAGACTTCCAAAGGATCTGTGCACGACGCATAGTGGACTCTCCTTTGTAACACCATATCAGGAAAGGGTGTATACAGTTGGAAAATTGCAAACTGTGCAATGCGAAATGAGTTTTGCTTGTGACATTAAAAAAAATCACATCAGTTGCCTCAAAGTGTTCATTGAGTTGCTTGTGGAGCTGGGCCATTGAAAGCCCTCCTTGGAATGCTTTGGTGTATTGTGGTTCTGGAAGTGCTGTGTGGCCATAGGTAGGCGAGAATGTTTCCAAAATGTCTTTGAGCTCCAAATTCAATTTCAAAAATAGACGAATGCGTAGGTGGTGCTGATTGGTGCTGATCACCTTGATCCATGTAGTGTGACCAAAGATCAAACATGCAATGGGCTAGTCCAGCAATGTCACTGGCTCTGCCACGAAGTTTGGGGTAGCCTTTCTTGGGCTGGAACATTGTCAACTTGTCCAGTTTCATGCGATAGGGGTGCTTTGCTTGGTTTCTCTTCTGGTGTTGTCGAATAAAGACAAAGATCTCTTGGAGGTTGTCCATTTCGTCTCCAGGGAGGATGAGAACACCAAGAGATGCAGCAAGGAACCATAAGTAGGTCTCAAGTAACTTCTCATGTATTGCAGCAACAGCTCAAAAGGTGAAATCAGTGTGTCATATGAATTTGGATTCCCAAGTAAGTCTCAGGTAACACATCAGACCTTGCTGTTCGTTTTTTCCAGCTGCAGGTGAAGGCAAGTCACACTGCACAGCACTATTGTGCAATCAGAAATTTTATTTTGATCTGAATACAAAGGATGTCCAAGTAGATTGGTGTCATACTCATGTATGGGTTATCTTTGGATCATTTTTCTGATGAAATGTTGAGGTTTCCTGGATAAAATGTCTTTATTCATGAAAAATTGATATGCAGTTTGTACGCAGTTTGTACGCAGTTTGTACGCAGTTTGTATGCAGTTTATGCAGTTTTGAAACTACATACAGTTTTGGTAAAACTACATACACTTTTGTCAAAACCGTATGTAGTTTTAAAACTGCATATAAACTGCATATAAACTGCATACAAACTGCATATAGTTTTTTGCCGATTTTTGGACAAAATTATAAGTTTTCTGATGAGAACTGGTTCATCTTTGACCTTACATGTGAAGATACTTCATGGGAATGTGGTTCAATGGACTCCCCAAGTAAGCCAGCAGGGCCATCCCTCTAAACCTTCTCAAGTGTTGCAACTCTCAAGGCTGAGTTAACTGCAATCCCCAAAATCTTCACATGTAAGTTCTCAAGTAATGCAGCTTCTGAAGTGCAACTTCACTGAAACATTCAAATGATCCACAAGTAAGTTCACAAGTAATGCAACTTCACAGAATGAGTTCGCTGGAATGTTCAAAACCATGACAAGTGAGGTCTAAAGTAATGCTGCATCTCCACATGATGACTCCAATGGGATCTTCAAAACCTTCACAAGTAAGTTTCAAATAGTGCAACAAAACATGATAGAGACAATCATGTTTTGGAACCATTGTATCACAAGTAAATTCTGAAGTAATGCAACTCCACATGAAACATGTCACAGGTAAAATCTCAAGAGAAGCAGCCTTTTTTCACAGTGCGCACTCTGCCAATATAGCTTTGAAAAGTTTCTGAATTAAAGGCATCCATTGCTTACCAGTAGAACAAATTCACAAGTAAAGCTGCCAAGCCCAAAACATGCTATAAAGCGCTATGTGTAATGACTTTCATGTCAAGCAGCAGGATCTCAAGTAAATACATAAAGACAATAGATATGTTGCTGCCAGCTTTCTATGCCCAGAGCTTGATCAACAAAGACAAGCCAAAATTCATCTAGTCAGTGTGGCAATGCAAAATCATGTTGCCACCTCCACAGTGAATTGCCTCTGAATGAAATGTTTGTCAGGGATTCCCTTGGCAGTGCTCAAACAGGAGAAGAAAAACATCCAGACATTGATGATCAGCATCCAAACTTTGTGCACCTAGTACATTCCAAGAAGGTTGTAGTTTTTTTTCCTGTGGTAATTTTGCATGCCATGTGCATTCTTCTTTCAATAAAATGAAACAAAGCATATTACAACCCTTCCAAAAGAAAAAAACCGGGTAATAACAAGTCCAACACTTGAAGATAAGAGGTCCAAAAATGGAATGCAACAATTCCAACAATATTCCAGAACCAAAATCACATGTTTTTTTAGTAAAGCCTACCAAAAAAGAAAAGAAACAATACAAAAACATGTACATTCCAAGGCAATTTGTCTTGCAATACTTCTCAGAAATTAAACAACAAACATCAAAAACTATATATGTTTTCAACCAAAAAAATGTCCAAAAAAATTACTTACCAAGTAAATTTAATTTACTTACCAAGTAAATTAATT